TATATATATATATAAACACATGTGTATATATATATATATATACATATATACATAAATATACATATATATATACATATTAATGTACATATACATATATATGCATGTACAATACCGTCTAACATTATAAGTGTAGGTTCTAAGGTTTTAAAACATGTTATTGTAGCATAATAGTTATCACATGGTATAATACCAAATTGAAGACTGACGGGATTCCTCCCTGGAATCATTCAGCAAATCCTCGACTTCAAGCTCAGTGCGCGCTTTATGTGCCCAGCGCAGCGAAAGCCTCAGCAGAAGCCTCAGCAGGAGCTCCAACAGAACCCCGTGTCGCCCGCACCTGCCGTGCTTCGTTTTCAAAGCCACGTTGAGCTTTCAGACTTTCTTGCCATTCCTGCGGCCAGCACAAGGGCACGGCTTCAACTGAGCCCTTCAGGGAGCTGGGCCTTAACCTCCTTCCGATGTGCCCGTTCAGCTTCAACTCTGCCTCTCGGGCTGCAAGAGAGCCTGACGGACAATGGGACCGTGCGTTTGACTGATGCGCACGAGCCCGTCTTCCAGGTTGTGCTTTCAGCTGCAAAGCGCCATTTGGCCACGGCAAACATTGCAGAGTCCGCTCAAGGCTCCAAGTTTCCACAGTCCATCTTGCCAGCAGCTGAATTGCAGCAGCTGTGCCCCAGTGCCATTGGCATTGCGTTCCTACCCATTCACAATGCAGAAAATGTCGAGGTGACTCGTGTGCACGACGACCGCTTCGAGTTTGACGTTGCTCTTGCAGATGCTCGTTGCTTTCCCGTTGTGGTTCGTGTACTGCAGAGCGTGGCCCCTGCTGTCGGGCCCATACAGACCTCCAGGCTTACCTGTAGTCTCCATTGTAGTTCCTCTTTGGGGATACCTTATAAACTCCCTAATATATAATTGGTTAAACCAAAAAAAGGAACTACAATGGAGACTATAGGTACTTGTGCTAGCATCGCAGCTCTCGACACTCCTCGGAGCCGTGTCCGCCGGTCCAACAATTCCACGGACACTCGTGCGATTGCCAGTGCCGCAGCTCTCATCATGTTCTGTGTTACTCAAACCGGTGGAGGCCCCTCTAGGGGCGGTGTGTGTTCGTGCAGCTCGTGCACTTGTTCGGATCTTTGGCCGTCATGACGTGCTTGGCGAGCCCCTGCGTCGAGAGGCGAGCCGCAGACGGTATCATTTCTTCGCACATACACGGAAGCGTCGCATTCGGTACGCACTATTGGCGGAACTCTTCCACACATTTATTTTCAGTACAGGCACGCCATTTATTCGTGTTTTCTTTCCCCGCCACGAATCAGCTACCTTCCGGACCCGGTTGTTTCACACTTGGCCTTGCCCTGGAGTTCATTGGAGGCTCCATGTTGCCGGAGGGGCGTGGCAGAGCAGCTCTCAGTGTGCTCTGTCTTACTCAGCTGGATGCCCAGCTGTGTCCAGTGCCATTAGTGCTGAGTTGCCGCCGACCGGCAGTGCAAGAAATAGCTGCGTGTGTCGTTTACTGGAGGCTCCCTTCGAGTTTGACTTTGCCCTTGTGGAGGCTCATTGTTTGCTGGTGCAGACCCGGTGGGCCCCTGCCGCCGTGAAGTCCATGCAGAGCTCCAGGCGTACTGGTTCGGACAGAACTGCAGCTCTCAGCAATCTCACCGTGTTCACGGGTCCACTCACGGCTCCAGTGCGAGGGCTCGAGCTGCGGCTCTCAGCACACTCTAGCACCTTGCTCAGACCCCTGGAGGCCCCAGCCGTGCACCTATATAGGAGTGGTGAACGCTTCTGCATCTCATATGCAATTCCTCGGATCTTTGGCCATCAGGAGGTGCTTGACGAGCCCGGCCCGCGCTTCTTGACAGACTGGTCCTTGGTATGTGTTTTCCGCCGTCGCATTCGTTTCGCAACGCTCCGCGCTTCGTGCGGTGTGGTGCGCCATCGTCTCCTGCTTTCTGTCCCGGCTGCCTTGCAGCTGCCTGCGAATCCCGATCATGTACATCAAACACTTGGCTTCGTTTTAGAAATCATGCAACGGTGCAGGTTTTCCCGGACAGCCGTGCAAACGCCCGAGCCGCAGCTCTCAGCACGCTCTGTGTTTCTTCAGCAGGTAAATGCCCCAGCTGTGCCCCTAGCGGCTGCTCATGCAGCTCATCATGCGCCACAGCTGCAGCTCTCAGCATGCAGGAGCTCCGCAGAAGCAACAGATGCTCCTCAGCGCCTCTTCTCTTTGAGTACGAGGAATGATGTGATTCAAGCGAAGTAGAAGCGTCGCCGGTGACAAGCAGGTTCATGCCCTCCCCTGCGTGCATCTGCGAAGTATTGAAATGGGGGTTTCCGAAACTAGGGAACCGTAATATAGCACCCTAAATAGTAGGATCCTTATTTATAAGGATCCCAATATAACTTATTTTCGGAAACTCCCAATCAGCTGTCTTGCGCAGTTTGCATTTCAGCACACTTCAGCGGTTTCCCATCCTCTAACAACCCGACCTAAGGGTTGGGCCCCGGTTGGGCTGTGCCCTAAATGATTTGCCGAAACCTCGCACTTGTTCGCCAGTGGGCGCTGAGACATTTTTCCTTGTCCCTTGAATTCGTCGCCTGCCCTGCTTATGGCAGATTGCATCTCCGGGCATCTCAGGACGGAGCCAGTGGGCCTGTTTGCGTGGGGCTGCCTATGCTCAGACGTTTCTCACTGGTTGCCCGGCACTCACCGTCTCACACGACTTCCAAAAAACAAACAGCGCGGTTGTTGTGCGGTCCATGTTTGTGCGGTTCTGTGTCATGCAGCCTTTTCGGTATTGCTTAAGCAGCACTCCAGTACACAGTCGCTGGACTTAGCTCGTTACTTCTTTGAGGTGAAGTTGTCAGTTTAGGGTCAGCACCGCCAAATCGGTTTCCGAAGGCTGGCATGATGCTCAAGACGAGGTTTCTAATTCAGAGTTGGGTTCAAGCAGAGGTACCCTAAACCCTCCCTGAAACCTGCAAAACCCCCAAAACCTTTAAAAGCCTGGGAGAAGCACCCAAACCCTCAAGTCCTCACCCTGAAAACCCAATAATACCCGCCTCTAAACCTTAAACCGACAAAGCTCCCAACCCTTGAGAGTTGCAGTCGAATTGGAGACTTCATTCTTTCTTGCTAGGGATCTTAAGTTAAGTTACCATAATAGGGATGGGATCTATGTCAAGTAAAGACAGTTTAGTGTATAGGGGTAAATAAATGTAAGTAGTTCGGTTCCTTCATGTATTTTATTTATGGTAACTTAACATGCTTGCAGAATGCTGACCTGAAACGCCCAACCGGAGTAACAGTCTAAACCCTGATTATGAGCCCTGCATCGAACTGGGTTTGAAGGTATGCCATACTATAGAAGGGCCTATAAAAACGGTTAGCACTCGGGGTCTTGAGGAACAGCACGCCGCAGCTCCACAAGTTGGGAAGATAGAGCGCCGAGGATTCGCTAAAAGTTTTGCAGAGCCTGACACCCACGTCTGCCACAGTTTGCAGCCTCAGACGATTCGGTGGGTTCTTGTGTGTCTTGCGGCATCGCCCTGCGCTTCCTCCTGTGCCTCGACTTTCATGACCTTGGCTGCCTTAGCTTGTATCCACCCGCGGTTAGCATGGATGTTTCAAGTTCAGGGTCTGCGGATCAAGGGCATGTTGCCTAAGGACATTGGGCTGGTGGAAGGGGATGTGGCGGGGGGTTACTCTTGGAGGATTGTTGTTTGCATTAAATCGCATGGGTTGTGTTGGTATTTCGGGCGCCATCTTAGGCTGCTTTGGGGGCCAACCTCAAGAACCGAATGACTGTAAACAGTAGGGACACTCTACTATACCCTTATACTGTGAATCCCGATACTACACGGTATATGAACCTTAGACCCTTTCAGGGTACATTTCGTCTTTACGGAACGGTTTGGAGCTTCCGATGAGTGCGCGTGAGATCCTGACAGAGCTGCTGGTGATTTGGATTTCATGGTTTAGGGTATAGGCTTTGGGGGTTTAGGGTCTCTTGCAAGCTTTTGATTCGCTTGGAGCCCCAGTTAAATCTCAAAGATCGTTGGTTGCCACAGCCTGCAGACACCAGCAGCAGCTGCATGTATGGAGACGGTGATCCGCACAACAGCAGGAGCAAGAAGCACTGTTAATCAACAGCCATCACTGTATTGAACCTTGAACTCGTCACCGCCACCAAATTCATCAGATCATCGCCAGCATAACAATCCGAGACAATCATTGCAGCAGTGACCAACAGCAATCATGTGTGTTAGCAAGACGTCGAGCCATGACGACGGTGTCATCGGCAACACCAGAAGCAACAGCATCCGCACGGGGTGTTAGTGATAATGCTGCAAGAGACAGCTCGCGGAATTCGCAAGAACATCAAGTGCTGCTATGCCCCTTTAATTGTCAGTGGCTGTAGGTACAGAACAGTCATGCAAATACTGACAGGAACCCACCATTATACCCAGCAAATGCGCGCATCAAAAGCCCCCAAACCTAGACGTCAACATCGTAGTCTGCATGGTTCGAAGAAGTTGTAAGGGCAAAGACTGCCAACAATCCAAAGCGTAAGTTCGACTCGAATCCAAAAAGTTGCATTGCAAGGATCAGTGGAAGTGATAACCATGGCACTGGGAATGAGCATGACTGCCTCTTGGTCACAAGCTGTTTCTCCTGGGAGACTACAAGATGCTAATAAGTGATTTCAGGCGGTTTCAATCTCGTACTCTGCTCCGTAGCCACCAGCCTAGTAGTGTACTTATTCTGCTGCAGCTGATGCTCGGATTGTGAGCACAAATATAAATACGTCCACTACGTTCTGCTGCTACTAGGACTACGACGACGACGACGACGGACGACGACTACTACTACTATACTACTACTACTACGACGACGACTACTACCACTACTACCACTACTACTACTACTACTACCACCACCAGCACTGCCACTACCACTACCACTACCGTTAACGCTGCTACTACCACCACCACTACCACTATCACGACTGCTACCACTGACACTAACATGGCCACCACTTCCACTGCCGCTACCACCACTCCTACTCCTCCTACTCCTACTGCTACTGCTACTGCTACTGCCACTGCCACTGCCACTGCCACTGCCACTGCTACTACTACTACTACTACTACTACTACTGCTACTGCTTCTGCTACTACTGCTACTGCTACTGCTTCTGCTACTGCTGCTACTACTGCTGCTGCTGCTGCTAATACTACTACTACTACTACTACTACTACTACTACTACTACTACGACTACTACTACTACACTACTACCACGACGACGGCTACTAGGACGACGACCGTCACTACTTTGCTTGTATACTTTTGCTTCTACGAGTGCTACTGGTGCTGCTGCTGCCACCAGCAAGAAGCCTCGCGAGTGTTAGCCTCTTGGCACTTAGCAAGAACCGCACAATTTGCCGAAAGTAATCCCGAAGGTTCACAGGCCCGAAGCCTCAGCAATCAACCCTAAAGTTAGACTCGGAATGAGACTCCTACACCCTCAACACCTCGAAAGTCCCGACTGAGGACGCACAGCTAATGATGCTTCCATCGTGGTCACACCTCGGAGCTGTCCGCCCACCTCCAGGCCACTCTGCTTGTATCCCAGGGATTAACTACGGCTTCTATTCAAGGATTAGCGTTGTGCGTTCTGGGATGTACGGAGTTGGGGTTTGGGGGATAAGCTTCTGCTTGCACTTGAGGGTTTAGGGTTTACTTCAAAGGCTGCCGAAACTTAAAACAAATTGCTCCGCGCGCTTGATTCCCGGACAGATTCCAAGTCTACTTTTACTAACAGAACAGTGTTTGTTTAGGCCCGTTTCTTTATGCTGCATTATGGCTCTAACCGAATAGATTAGCACTATACTATATACTGTTCACTATATGCTATATATACTACATACCATATACCATATACCATATATACTATATATACTATATACCATATACCATATACCATATATATATATATGTATGTATGTATTTCTCTTCCTGAACCCTAGGCTCGAAGCCTCGGAGTCCTAAATCCGAGGGGTTAATGGATTCCAGCTACCCGCTCGGGCTAGCATCATGAGTACCATAGGGTTCCTTCAGATAAGACTAGGTAGATCGTAAAGTGATCACAATAGGGTTCCTTCAGAGGAGACTAGGTAGATCGTAAAGTGATTACAATAGGGTTCCTTCAGATAAGACTAGGTAGATCGTAAAGTGATGACAATAGGGTTCCTTCAGAGGAGACTAGGTAGA